ATATTTCACCAGCAGTTTAAGCCATACTCAAAGCCATTTATCTTTTTCCAGTGCTGGCTGCAGAGGATATGAAAAATGCAGCAGGCTGCACATATGTAATTAAACTTTTGGCAGAATCTTTGCCCCGCGGCTTTACTAAGAAATTCAATAATGATAAATTGAGTAGAGTATAGAGAGGACTTTTTGTGAACAAGATTTAAAATAATGTATGTGGCACAGATGATTATTTGCCACATAATTGTCTTGGCAACGTTCTTGCGAGAGCCCTTGTTTGATTGTGTCAGCTATTCTTTAAAAACCACCCCTTGTTCTGCTCTTATCACTACTCCAATTTGCTATTGAGGCTTTCCTGATTTTCAGCCAAGTCCGTGTTTAGCCGTAATTATTGTTTTGTTCCCCTTAGCCTGCTCAAGATGCGGCGTTTCAAGCTGGGAGCACTCTGGGTGCTGCATTTGGTGTGACAGCCGCGCAAGTCCCCTCCCGTGCTGTGTCCGATGCTGTGAGCTGGTATCATCGCTCCACTGTAATTAGCCTTTTTTTTATTTTTTTTTTTTAATTTTTTTCCAACAGCAATTGGAAGTAAAACGCATCACTTGACCCGTGTGTGGTTTGGAGTCTCACTGTTCCGTGTGACGCTACTGGGAAAATTACGCTGGGGTTGTCTCTCTGGTTTTGGTGTCGCTGCCTTTATCCTCTGTTAACGCACCGATAATTCCCGTGAGGGGAAATTTTGTGTTCCAACTGTCCATCCCAACCATCCTCAGCACTTCCCCTGTAAAAGCTGCATCTATTCTGTTTGTTTCCCACAGATTTCCCCCGTTTGTTGCCGGTGGGAGCAGAACTCCTCACCCCCGTGGGCAACGTGGCATCCGCCCTGTCCTTTGTCACTTCTGTCCTTCAAATATGCTTGTCAAAAACCTGATTTTCATCGGAAGTTTTTTTCAGTAGTAGCAAGCAGACTACTTGTAAGTAAAATAAAATGATAATTTTTTTTAAAAAAAGGTATCTAATAGAAGTGATAGCTGTGTGCTGGGACTCAACAGATACCTCAGCGGGTGGCAGGCTCATGTTAAGTGATGGAGCTGGTCTGGACATTTGCTCTTGTAGTGAGTTCTGTGAAATGGGACTTTTCTGGTAATTTGGGGAGATTTTGGTAATAAAGGGGAGGGAGTGTTGCTGAAACGGTAATTCTCAATGGAATGGGGATAGCTGAAACTTCCCACGGGATGAACGCTGGCCGTTGCATCCCTTGTCCTGCTCCTCCGTGGAGCTGGGGGGAGCGAATGGGGTGTGTGGGGGGAGCGGGGATGTTTGGGTCTGATGCTCTCCGGTGTCTGGTTTCTGCAGATATGGGCAGCTCCAAGGCGCAGCTGGGTGCTTCTGTGGTGCTCGTGGCTCCTCTCAGGGGCTTTTTCCCTGCGCTTGTGGCCAGGCGTTCAGCAAAGGATGCTGCTTCGCAGTAAAAACTCCCCCACAAAGAGGAGCTGGGGGGGCTGAGATCAAAGCCTGGAAGAAGGAGCTTGGAAAGGCTTCGCTTTGAAGCTTAAACACCAGCAAAAGTCTTGCTACAGGAGCCCGAGGGGACAGCGCAGTTTTACAGTGAACCCGTCAAATCCGGGGACAAGGGAAATAAGGAAATAAGGAGGAAGTACGACTGGAATAAGGTGATGAGAAGCCCAGTAGAGCCACAGCTCAAAGCACTGGGGGTTGCCATGAGCGAGTGCGTTGCCATTGCCGGGATCGGTTTGGGCAGCCGGGTCATGCTGGGGCAGGAGGCGGCCTTTCCCCTTTCCCCTTTTCCCCTTGGTCCCCTCCCTGCCCAGGGAGAGCTCTGATTCCCCAGGTGATGGTGAATGAGAAACAACCAGAAGGGAGACGGGAGTGTAATAGCAGGGGGACAAATTAACATCTTTGCAAGCGGAGCAGATGCCAAGGCAGAGTTGTTTTGTTCAGAGCCGGAAAGTTAGATTTTTGGAAACGCTGATGACATTTGGTTTATCGGTTCTGTTAAGTGCCAAGCGAAAAGCAGCTGGGAGGTTCTGATTTTTTTGGCTCGTTCTGCCTAAACCATGGGGACATGGAACCGGGACATCTGGGGTTTCCACCCGTGGCTCTGCTGTGGGTTTGCTGCGTGGCTCTGGGCGAGGTGGTCCTGCCCATCCCCTGCCTGGGAGCACATGGGCATCAGCCGTGCTGTAACAATCAGATCTTCCTTGATAAGGTAAATCCCTGTTTTTTACTCATTTTCTTTAGTTTAAATCTCAGAGAACATGAGGGTGATGTGGTCAAGGACTCAGCCAGAGCAGTGATGTGGGGTGATGGATGGATCCTGGAGTCGGCGTTTTGTTATGTGCTGTGCTGTGGCCGGAGGGAGAGGCTGGATCAACACAGGGAGGAGGAGGAGGAGGCAGGCTCCAGCCTGAGCCTGGTCCTGGAGTAGGGCTGGGGTAGGTGAGAAAGAGGTGAGGGAAGATCTGAGACTGCAGGAAGATGTGCTGGCCACGGGTTGTACTTTCTTGGATGACACACACTTAAGTCAGCAGGTGGGTTTGTTTTTAATCACAGTATTAAAGTCAGAAATGCTAAGGATGGACAGGACCAGGTCACATCGAGGGATGAGCAAAAAGAAAAAGGTAAAAAAAGAAAAAAAAAATAGAAGAAAGTGGCCAGCTATGGAGTAGCCTGCCTGGTGTCAGAACGCTGATCTTAGCTGGTGCTGTGAGAGGTGAGAGCGCAGTGGAGCTGCTGCCCCGCTGTCAGCAGGCAGCTGCTTCGGCCGGATTCAAGAAAAAACAACTCACTGATCCTAATTCTCCGTCTTTCCTGCGTTCCCCCTGCAGATACCAAAGTCTGCAAAACGCAAAGCTTCCCCAGCAGCCACCGAAACCTCCGCTTTCAGCGCTCATCCCGCGTTTGTACCTCGCAAAAACTGCCCCGAGAGCCCCCGCTGCCCTGGCTGCCGCGGCGTGGCGGCTGCTCGGGCTTTAATCGAGCGCTTGGTGCTTTCTCTCAAAAGAGAAACGCTGGTGGTTTGTCACTTCAGTGCAATGCTCTTCTCTAAATGTTTCATGAACTGGTTTTCCTCCTCCCTGGAAAGCCCTTGGTGCTGGAGGGGGATTCCTGCACCTCTCTGCAGCCTCCCGTCCCCCTGGTTTTTGTGCAGGTGTGAGGCTCTGCGGGGACGGGGAGGGGCTCGGGGGGCCAAGCTCCATCGTGCTGGCAGGGCACTGGGTGCAGGTTGTGGGTCAGTGACAGTGTCTGGGGCAGGGTCAGGTGAGGATAACGCTGTCTGTGGGGGGGCAGCAGAACGTGGGCCAAACAATTAAAGTAATCCAGTGGCCTGGCAGCAGAAGGAATTTCATCTCTAAGTGGCTTCAGCCCTGGCTGCCCCGTTGCCAGGGCTCTGCTGTGCCAGCGTTCCCGTGGCGAACTGGACCAGCCGCTCCGCTGGAGCTGGCTGTCCTTGCTATTGCGTAAAAAAAATATTTATCTTTGTCCCCGCAGGCTGGAGTGAAGCTCTGCCATCAAATGTTACTGCGTGTTATTGTCTGGGCTGGGATTTGGGGACAGAAAGTATCTGGCTCCGTATGGCTCATGACAACGACAGTATTTATCTTGCTTTGTTTGCCGGGCGGCCGCGGCGGTGGCGTTTTGGGGGAAAATACAAGAGTTGTGGTTTTCAGCCCTGGTGACGCCGTGTGGGGACACTCTGGTGGCACAGGAGGTGGCAGGAGAGAATCCACCAAGAGCCACCTGGTCTCGCTGCCATCACTTGGGTTTTTAGCCTTTGATCTGTTTTCTCGGTACCAAAATTTATTTTCTGCGTTGTTGAGGAGCGTTTTGGGATGCCTTCAGGTGTCCGTTTTTGTGTTACAGATGGCAAGAGGCAGAGTGTTGCTGACACCCCTGCTTTCCCAAGGCGACCTCCTGTGTCAATTTGCATGAGCCCGCTTAGGCTGAGGTTCTTAATTGGCGCAGAGAACGCACGCTGTGCGCCGTGCGCCGTGACAGTCGGGCATCATCCTGCCTCCAAAGAGCAGGGCAAACAGTTGGCATTCCGTCAAAGCAGTTTCAGGCAGCTCCTTATGCTGCATCTGCGAGAAAAATCTTGGAGTAGGCAGGTCGAGGGACAGGCAAGAGAATTACATAAATCCAGGGGGAGAGAATTATGTTGTCTAAATGTCAGATCTTTAATACGAAGCCGTAGCTGTTGCTGTGTGAGGTTGAGGAATTCGTGCTCCTCGTTTCTTGGCTTCCCTTCACCTTTTCGTGCTGGAGGTGAACAGTGAAGGTCACGGGCTGTGTGGGCTTTATTATGGTGCTACCTGGGGCTTGGGTTTTAGTGGCGTGGTTTTAACTAGCTGGTTGAAATAGAGCCAAGTAGTAATGGTCCTGCTGGGAGCAGAGGTCTGGGAGAGCCTGGGGTTATCTGGTGATGTCTCAGCAAATGGCAGCAGCAAATCTTTTGGTGGCGGAACAAATAGTCGCTAAATACAGCTCAGTGCGCTCGCTCTGTGAGCGGGGTGGAATCCAAATGAAGCGTTGTGGGGTTTCCTCCATCAGCGAAGGCAGGGGAACTGCAGACCTGCCAGCTTTGGGGTTGGGATGGGGGGACAGTGTCACTGTGGGTCCCCGTGGCTGCTGCCCTCATCATCCTTGTCAGGCACCAGCCTCAGAGCTTGTCCCCGAGAGGTCGGGGCTTTGCAGGCAGGTGTGAGCCCGGGGGTGATGCTGGGGGGCCAGGACGAGGTGGGGGCAGAGGATGAACTTCTGTCTCAGGGTCTCCCTGGCCTGTGGGCGCTGTGGTCTGCGTGGGGGGAAACCCTTTACCCTAAACTGCAACGAAGGGGATGGGGAGCCAACACACACCCCTTCAGCCTTGCTTTGGTCAATGTTTTTCCTTTGGCCTCTGCTTTTTCCTGCTGGGAGGGGTGACAGGAGATGCCCAGCTGTTGGTCTGTCCCCCTCTCGGCTGACCCAGCTGTTTTTTGTGCCCCCAGACAAAGGTGAGAACGGGGAGCCCTACCAGAGGAGGAAGGGTGCGGGGCTCAGCCTGCCAGACGGGCCCCCAGCGTTCCCCGCGGGCAGGGACGGTGCCCCGCCGGCCGGCAGCAGCAGCTGGAGGAGGATTATGCTGATGATCCTCGCCATAACCATCCACAACATCCCAGGTAAGTCCTGTCCATCTGTCCATCCATCCTGGCTCATGGTCAGCCTCTTCCCAGGGTCGGTGCTTGAGCATCTGCAGCCCCACTCGCTATTGCCAGCCTGTCGTGGGTGAAAATAGTAAATCTGAGAGTATATTGAGAAGGATGACACTGTTAAGACAACAAATTCTGGTCTTACTTAAGTTCTCCTCTGGTCTCTGTACAAGCAAGAGATGCATTTTAAAGTGGCGCTTCTCTGTGGGAGTAAATGCAATTGTGGTTTGTTTTTTTTTTATTTAAGGGATGAATTTTGCCAATAGGTGGAAAACTGTGGAGCCCCGATGGAGGGCTGCGTCCTGCCAGGGGTGGGACACTGACACTGCAGAAAAAGATGCAATAAAAAAAAATAAAATTAAAAATTTGTTACAGCTGAGGACACTCGGCTGCTTTGCAATTCTTGATGCTGTTGAAAGTAATATAAGGCAGGCTTTTTGAATGCTTGCTTTTCTGGTTTCCTCTCCCCTCCCTCCTTCTCCTTCTCCTCCTCCTCTTCTCCTTCTCCTCTTCTCCTTCTCCTCTTCTCCTTCTCCTCTTCTCCTTCTCCTCCTTCTTCTCCTTCTTCTCCTTCTCCTCCTTCTCCTCCTTCTCCTCCTTCT